TAGAGCCCGTACACATAGAGCCCTTACACATAGAGCCCTTCCACATAGAGCCCTTTCACATAGAGCCCTTCCACATAGAGCCCTTCCACATAGAGCCCTTCCACATAGAGCCCTTCCACATAGAGCCCTTTCACATAGAGCCCTTCCACATAGAGCCCTTTCACATAGAGCCCTTCCACATAGAGCCCTTCCACATAGAGCCCTTCCACACAAGAATTTCAGGTGCATTACTGAATTTAGTTTTGCGTCATTCAAAACTTATTTTGACCAATAGGTCCTTTTCATACACATCCTTTAAATCAGCATCCCGGATGGATGGGACTCGCTAACCTTGGATGGCAACTCATCTAAGAGAAGGCAAACTCTGAAATCAAACCCGAGGATGGAGTACCGTAGGCGCCATGGCATTGACACAATTAAATTCCGACAACTCCTGTCACGTGGAACACATAGAGCGCGCAATGAAACGCACGTAGAAGAAAAGAAACTGCTGGTCATTTACTGCATCCTGGTCTATTTCCAGCCGTCTTGACTGAGTCTTGCCATTGGGAACAATATTGGAACAAATAGAAACAAAGCACAGCTCAAGTACAAGGCGACAACTCAAGTTGAAAATTATTGAATTAGTTCTTGCCTTGATCATCTTCGCGTGAGAAGGGCGAAAACTACATATACGATACCGCCCTTAACAGCGCCTAGTTCTATGGGCATCATTTTGATCGCAAAAAAATAGCTCCAACTGCTAAATTCACGGAAAATAAGTTTTATTACGCTGCTGATGGAATCTTTGATGATAGGCCTGTTCCTTTTTTACAAGAACGTTGCCGAAGGGCATAACAGCCAGTCAATGTAAATGAAATAATTGGACACCCCAAACAAATTTTTTTTAAAAATTCTGTAGCTGTTTGAAAACATTAGTGGCGCTTGATTTTGAATGCCTAACTATTATTATTATTATTATTACTATTATTATTATTATTATTATTATAATTATTATTATTATTATTTACCGACATCAATCATTTGAATAAAAAGACAAATTATTAACTTTTTTTTTTTTGGTCGTTAATAATTAGGTCACACTGTACGGCCATGGGCGCCGCAGGTAGTAGCAAGGTGGGCCACTTGCCCCCCCCCCCCCCCCCCCCCCCCCCGCCC